TGTAAGCAATTAGACAAAATGTTTTCATACAATGCGAGATGTAAAAGATCTGACGGTCTCTAAAAAACTCCACAGCCATGTGAATATAATATTTTACTGATATATTTATATATTATATATATTAAAACTTTTTCATTACTTGAATTCTGAAAAGAGTTTTATTTTTAATGATAATTTTTTATTTTCTTTTTCGTTACTGAATAACTTGTAACTATTATCAATTTAATTTAGTAAGAGATTTATATCTCTATGTAATAAATGAATGGCCTTTTTAAGTATTTTTAATGTTTTTGACATTTTTTTTTCTTTTATATCCTAAATCTGTTTGACTTAAAAGAAAATAGTGATTAAGAAATTAAAAAAAAAAAACTAGAACTATATATTTTTGTTTTGGGTCTATTTGTAGGGTTTCAAGAATTTGTGTATGTGCATATATTAGAATTTGTGTATGTGCATATATTTCTTTCTGTAATACACTGGGTAAGTAATATTGCTATTCAGTTTGGGACTATTTCATTATATAAAAATAGAATTAAGTAAATAAGAGGTAGTATTACAAGTAGTTTGTACGGCAAAGTGTAATACAAATTAATCATTTGTATTTATTTTAATAAAAAAATTATTCTTTAATATTATATAGATATAAAAAAAATTAAAAGAGTATAAAAAATGAGTACATAACGAGTATAGTTAACGTGTGCGTAATAAAAAAGACCTATTACAACTATAATATACTATATATATATTATATATATATAATATATATATTACATAAATATTTAACATAAAGTCTTGATTAAAAGTAGCATATCTCCTATATTTATATCGAGAATATCTATCAAAAGGTTGTATATAATGAATACTTAGTATCTTCACATGATATAGATCCATTTTGTGTTGGATTTGCTACATTTCAATAATATAATTTATGTTTTTTTTTTTTTTTTGAAAGGAATAATATAATTTACGTTAAAAGAGTTTCTAAATCAGATAACATTAGTCAAAGCTTACCATTAAAAAAACCAAACTTTTTTTAATGAGATCTAATCTGTTAATATTGTGCATCCTCAAAGAAGACACTGTGATATGCTAATGTTGAAAACGGTGCGATAATAATAATTAAATCGTTGATGATGTAAAAAATAGGGGTTTTGATGGGCAATGTAGTAATTAAAAAAAATAATAAAAAAAAGACAACAATAATGAGATGTTTTACACTGCAGTGAGGTGAGTTTTTGACTTGTAGTAGAAGTTTAAAGGAATTGTAGTTTGGAAAAAGAATTAAGAGCAATTGGCAATTGATCCGGTAACAAAAGTCACTTCTAGTTTGTTTAGTGGATGTGCATAGGGATAGAAGGGGTGGCTTTTGGTTGCTTCTCCACCCACAAAAATCCATTTATTGCAGGTTTATGTATTAATTAAATAGATTTGGAATAAATATGAGTATCGAATTAATTGACTACTGTGGATTTGGGTTGGGTCTACCCATCAAAATTCATTATATAATTTAAAAATATTTAATATAATAAATTAATGTGGAAATTTAAGTGCTTATTGGGTTAATAATTTACTAAAATTTTTATAAATTAAAAACCACAAAAAGCTATTCCTCAAAAAAAAAAAAAAAAAAAAAAAAAAAAAAAAAAACAAAAAAAAAAAAAAAGCACAAAAAAGGGTTAAATTGCTTTAAAAAAAAAAAAAAAAAAAAAAAAAAAAAAGCACAAAAAGGTTAATTGCTTAAAAATAGTAAATGACTGGAATTTTAGAATTGTCTTTACCAGTATTTATTATTTTCAAGTCCTAGTGTTTATTTTCATTTCCGTCGTCCTAAGCTCGACCAATACCAATTATAAGTACTATATAAACATGGTGGATTTTCATGGTATCTTACCCTTCCCAATTAATTTCAAGCGGATTCAGTTATTAATTAAATAGGTGTGGAATAGATACGAGTGTTAAAATTTTAAATGGGTATAAGTATAAGTATTACAAAATAAATTTTAAATGGATTTGGGATGAACATGACTATCGAAACTTATAAACAGGTTTGCATGTGGCAGTGAAAAATTTTGCAAAGTATCCATTCAACTTCCATCACTATGTGCATACCTAATTTTGCACCTCCTTATTAGCCTGACAATGGTGGCATTTGTGGTTTAGTATATGGAATTGTGCATGAAAATTCTTTTAGAAACCTCAATGATTAAGGCTCTATTTATCAACAATTTTTTAAATAGCATTTAGTGTTTTAACTAATCAAAATATCAAATGCTATTTTTTATAATTTTCGTAACGTAGTATTTAAATTATCTTTTAAAGATTAAGTTAATATTTTATAAAAGGTTAATCCTATAATATTTAGTTTAGCATTTTAGGAAAAGCTATTAAAACAGTTAAATATTACTCGAATAATTAAACGCTACTAAAACAGCTAACAGCCTAAATATGAGTTGGTCTGAATGATTAAGAAATGAAATCAGCCTAAAAATTGGGTTAGGTTCATGCATAGTGCATGCCATTCAATGAGTATCATTGACCACTCAGTTGGCAGCTGGTTGTTCTCCCGTAAATCCTCTTATCTGATTAGTTATAACTAGTTAGATAAAAGATAGAGGATCGATTTTAGAAAAATTTGAAATACATATAAAATGCAGTGATCTTTTTGTTTTGGCAAAATGCATAAATTCATCCATATATTTTATATAAAAAATCTTGTGGTACCTTCAATTTTTATATTGACTTATTAAACATTTCAGTTATGAAATTATATTGATTAAATACTTCAACTTGCAAAAATTATTTTATTGCACTCAAACTTATAAAATTATATCGATGAAACACTTATTCAATAGTTAAAATGTGAAAGTTATTATTCCAAATATTATATTAACCGCATTTCAGGTTAATATTTTGCATATATAAATGCTAAAAACACAAAAAATTTATTATTACTAGTACGGAGAAGGAAATAATGTTATCAAACTTTGTAACTTTATAGGGGATAATAAGTCTCTCCCAAGATTTAAGGCGCTATGAAATTTTTTAATAAAATACAGGGATAAATTTATGCATTTGACCATATTTTTAAAGTGAAAAGAATGTTAAAAAGGGTAATTAAGAGAAAACAAAAAGAAAAGAGAAAAAACACTAAATAATAATTAATGATTCTAGGTAATAAATTTCAATAGTAAATTTATGTATTTAGCCTTTTGATATACTTTTGCTCAATTTGGGACGTTCAAACTCTTTATCCATTATCTACTTTATGTAGCCAAAATTTGTGTATTATCATCCCATGGCTCATAATGGATACAAAAACAAACATCTCAAAAAGAATAGATATTCATTTTTTAGTATCCTTTTGAGCTAGCTTTTAGCGTTTTCACCAAGTCAAAATTATATTTATATTAATTGTATTGTTGAGTATAATAATATTTATAATAGCTTAGATTGAATGATTTTTTTATGAAGCATTAAATACTTGAATTAAACACTTTAGCATTTAGCGTTTCACAGAAATTAATTAAGTGTTTGTTTAAAAAATTAACTATTTTGATAGCTATTAACTGTTCTAGTTGCATTTAACTATTAGTTATTTGAGTATCTTTTCATAAAACGCTAAAACTAAACTTTACGTGAGTTAACTTTTTATAAAAGGAAAACGTTACCTTAATCTCTTAAAATTGATTCCAACGCTAGATTACCAAACACTATAAAAAATAACTTTGCGTCTTTTGACCGGTCAAATACAATATACTTAAAAAGTTGTTGTCCAACATAGTCTAAATTTTTTTGATAATCACATACATTATTTTTTTCCCCCTCAAATTTAGTTAATTAAACGGCTAACGTCATTTTTTATCATTTCAAATTAAACAACTAATTAAATAGTTATTCTTGTCAAACACTTTTAACTTAAATAGCTATATAAATAGTTAACCACTACTAAAAAAATTAGTGTTATCAAACATACCCAAAATGGTACAATGAACTTAAAAAAAAAAAAAAAAAAAGCTAATATTGGTCCAACAAACTCAAAATGGCAAAATGAACACCCTCGTGAGATGGAGAAAGTATATGTAACGGTTCATATAGCCGGTTTTTTGAATTGCCAAACTAACAAAGAAGTTCACGGACTTGAGATGCCACGTGGGCAATGCAAACTGCGTCAGTTAGTCATTAGTCATCACATACATCAGCCCAGCACCAACATAAGATTATGTATCCTAGGCCTCACGTGTTCCAACCTTCATACACACATTAACGGCACCGATCCACTAGATTCATAGTGCCCATCAAAATCACACACGTGTCCTCTTCCCATTAACTGCTGAAATCGTGGCACTTTCTAATTGGTTATTGGAGGATATGTCAACACGTAACTGTCAGAACTGATCCTCCTAATTTTCCTGTTTTGGCAAAACTCCGAATAACGGACGGGACACACAGGTATCCTTCGACTGAGAACCATGAAGATATCACCGTACAAGTGTCAACTCAACTACCCCTAGTTCGACACGTGCGTGGATATTTGGCGGTTGTTTCTAGGTTGCCACGTTACTTCCTTTTACGTGGTGCAGTAGCTCACCTGGAGCCTCACGCATATATATAGTGTAGGGGCTGTTGTTGGATTTTCACGTAATGTGATCCCATTTCACCCCAATATTTTATTCTGTTCGTTAAAACCATTTCAAAATTTTCCATCTTAAATTAAAAAAAAAAAAAAAAAAAAATATTTTATTCGTTCGTTAAAACCATTTCAAATTTTCCCATCTTAAAAATTAAAAAAAAAAAAAAAAAGAAAGAAAAGAAAAGGAAAAAAGGACTTCCTCTCTTTCTCTGTCGATCTAAAGAATGGAGGATGGTGGATTAGGTGTTTTAGGATTATAGACATCATCAATAGAAAGTGAGCCAAGACTCTCACTTTTGTCAAATCATTACGCAAGGGGTAAGTGAAACCTCCCTTCTCTCTCTCTCTCTCTCTCTCTCTCTCTCTCTCTATATATATATATATATAGTTCTTCGAATTTTATTTATTATTTTGTAATTTGAAAGAGTATGGGGAGATGAAACCGACTATTATTCTTGATTGAGAATTGAATTTGATGAAGCAGGTAGGTAAAAAGAGTGGTGATTTTGTAATTTACTGGCGTGCAGGAGGCAGCTTTATATGTGGTGAAAACACGTAATGTAGAAGAAGCTTTGAGCGTATTCACAGAGGTACATGTTGAAACTTGAAAGCTCAAACTCATTTGTGGGTGGATATTTGTAATTTTTTTATTATTTTATAATAACTGAATGTAAAAACGAAATACAATTAGATTGACTAACAAAAAGATATATATATAAACATTAATTATATGTTAATATTCTATTTAATGTTTTCTGCTACAACTCAATTCACATAGAAGAAGATTGGATGCAAGGTGTTTGTTAATAGACTTACTGAAGACAAAATATCTGGTGTTCTACATTATCAGGTAAAAGCTCTATTACGAGGTTATGTGTTGGTCAAACTAGCGGGAGGTTTTTTTTTTTTTTTTTTTTGGAAATTTTTTTTTTTTATTGGAAATTAGTGCGAGACTTTTTTTTTTTTTTTTTTTTTTATTGGAAATTAGTGGGAGATTTTATTAACTCTTCAAAAGGCTAAAATTCAGAAAATGGAAAAAAATTATAAATTTTGAAATGGGTAGTTAAAAATACAACTTTAAATTATGAATGCAGACTGGCACTTAATATGAGATTATCTCCTCATTAATTTTACCTTAAATTTTAGGAATTTCTATAATTTTATTGTTTTAGTCATTTTTAATAAAATTCTAATTTAATAACTTAATTGCGATTTATTTTAGTTATTTCAGCACGTATGTATCTTCATATTAAATATTTAAATATTGATAATATAAAATTAAATTAAATATATAAATGTAATGATTATACTTGAATTAAAAGTGTTAGAAATATAGAAACAGTTTTCTATTTGGTTGTAAATAAAAACGTGGTAGTTAATTGCTATGCAGAAATTATACTATCAATTCAACAATAATTATGCAAAATTGCAACTTAACATTAACAATCAAAATGAAAGTAACGTGTCAGTAATATAATATTATCATAATATTATTCAACATTATGATATTGAAAAAATTAAAAATATATTAATTAGAAAATAATTTATATTTTGATATGGTAATAAGCAGGGTTCAGAGCCGGTGGATAGTGTTGCACCAAAAGGAGGTTCAACAATGCATTTGGATGGGGAAATCAATTCTATTCGACCTCAATTAATAAAGCTCCCAGCTGAGCTGAGAGATGTAGTTTCTGCTCCTTTTTAGTTTGGTTTCTCTGTATTCTAACTTTCCATCAAATAACATTTTTGTTTGGCGAAAAAGAATAGCTAAAATACATAAAATTGTATATAATAAGCCATTCATTGTGAAATATTAATGATCTATAAGTAATGTACATTGTTGTAAAGCACTTGTTATTTATCTGCTTGATCGGAGTTCGATTTTTCATTAGCGTATTCAGTTACACATGATCTCTGCTACTGAGAAGTTTGCCCAATTTTAAGTAGGCTTTCTCAGGCCGGTCTCTTGTTATCATGGACTGAAAATAACAACGCCATATACTGCAAGGGGGTAGGATTCCAGCTAGTGCTCAGGGGGTCGGTGCCGCGTATGGGGAGTCTTAAATCAGGAAGCAACACTTAGTTTCTTTTTCGACGTTTAAAAAAAAAATGTGCACTAGGGCAAGAATTTAATTTAACCTAAAACTCTCTAAGCTTTGAGGAAATTCTTTTACCAGCTAAACAAATGAATACAACATATATCTTTAGAAGGAGGTCCAGAATTAGATTAATGTCATAAAGAAAATACATGCAAGTTTATAGTTATTAAATTGTGTGATTTGATGTCTATATATACGATATTTTACCCGCAATAGAAAGATAAAATTAATCCCTGCACCCAATGGTTCTTCTGTATTAGAATTCCAAGAACATTGGAAAAATACCGAATTTTGTTTAATGAAACCCCGAAAGAGAGAAAAATTTAATAAAAGAGCGAATCTGTGTTTTTGACAGAGAAGAATAATTTTTAAATAGTTTAATTTTGTAATTTTAATGTTTAATGTAACGATTTAAGGTTGGAATCAACATACAGTTAGATAAGGTAGAAGAATAATTTTTAAATAGTTTAATTTTTGTAATTTTAATATTTAATGTAACGATCTAATTTTAAGGTTGGAACCAACATACAGTTCGATAAGGTTAACCGCACCATTCTTTCCTAGTTAATTAAATCTATTCAGAATAACTAAATATATGAAAATATGTGCTTCGGAAATTTTATTGAAAATTCATATTTGAAGTCTTCTTTTCTCATATATAATAACAAGCAAATTTATAATGTTACGTACAACTCAATGAAATCTATGGGTTTACACACTTGAATCTAATTTGATAATTAATCAACTATAAATTTTCAGTTTCAAGAAATAAAAATAATTTTCTGAGAATCGAATTTGTATTCTCATCTTTGCAAAAATAAGAATCGTTTATCACTTTAATCAACATTTTTCTAATAAAAAAGTATTATTTTGATACTAAAATATTTTGCACAGAAATAAAACATATAGTGGAGAAGTGAGCAATCTGAATATCCTTAGTGGGAATTGTGGCAAGCTCTTGACTGCTTATATTCATGCCACAACGATAGGGACCTCTGGAATTTATACCATTTTATTTCCTGGTAGCTAACTTAGATTTTTACATCCGGTTCTGACTAGGTATAGATGAGATTCTTATCATATCGTGTCATCATCATCACATTACATCTTCTCTCTCTCTCTCTTTATATATATATATAACTCGTGTTTATATTTTAGTTGCAATCATAATATTTCTAATATCATAGTTTTATGTCAATTCACATGAGTCCATTTTCTTTGTTACCTCGTGAACTTTATAAAATTTCAATTGAAAACTCATATTTTTACATTTTAATAATAACTATATATTATTAAGGTGTTCATCAAATCATCTAGGTGATCCAAATCGATTCAAAACTGTGGTTTTGAAAAATTAATGGTTTGATTGATTTTGTAAAATTTAAAAATTAAACTTTTAGTTTGCTTTATGGTTTTAAGTCGAAACCGTCCAAACCAAATTATTATATGCGTTTGTATGTGTTTAAACTTTTAAATTCAATTTAGCTTTTTTGAGTGAAAATTTTCTTTGCATTAATTAAAATAGATAGTAAATTATGGGATTAGTTTATATTGGATAATAAATAAATAGTAATTTTTTATTAATTAGATAAATTATATAATAATAGATAAATAGTAATTTTTTATTAAAATTAGATAAATTATATAATTATTTTATAAGAGGTTCAAATGTTAAAGATTCCTATAAAATCAGATTAATATATATGTACATTTATATGTGAGTAAATATATAATATTTTTTATACTATACTATGAATAAGCATACAAAAAATTAAAATTTAAAAATTTTTAATAACTGTTTAAAATTATGTGTATTTTATGGCATATTTTTTTATTAATTCATTTTCATATTTAGTATTTTTTTATTAATTAGATGAACGAGAAAATTTAATTTTTCTTATTTCAAATCATATAAAATTAACAAAGCCGTTAAGGTTTGGTTTGATTTGAAATTTTTGATGATTTGGTTTGATTTTAATTTTTTTCCAAATTGGGCATTAAGTTTGGTTTCATTATTATATTTAAATCAAAACAAACCGATTCATGAACACCTACCAAAATAAAATAACTTTGTGGAGGTTTAATTATGATTTTGCATTTGGCATTTTTTTTACAAGAGGTATAATTATTACTGAAATGTGATTTTTTATAAAATTATATTCATTTAATATTTTAATTTATAAAAATTATTCATTCAACAGTAGTAGCCCAAGAGAATCCCCTTCGAAGAAGAATCCCCATGATTTAGGAAAATATAGGAAAATTCTACAAGGTACCTCACATGTAGAATTACTTTCTCATCAAAAAGTTGAGTCCACCAAAAATCTTTTGGTCCCTGAAATCATTCACGCAAGCTTGCTGCCCTGTGCAACCTGCAACAAGACAGCTTGCAAAAAGCACAATATATATCTAACATTATATGTATTTTCTTTTTCAATAAATAGAGGTTTCAAGGCATAAATATCTAAAAATTAGCTATATATTCCATGCAAAGCTTGATATATAAATTTTATAGCACGAAAATACTGTAAAGCCCTCAATCATTCACTTAAAACATCACTTCCAGTAATTAACCAAATGAATTGTAAATAAATTTAAGGTAATGCTTATAACCGTTAACTATCATTTTAAGAGAGAATTATAAATTTAGTGTGTTTTATCCTGGTGCTCGAACGGAAAATCTAGTATCTAAATGTTTTAAAAAATAATCAAGTGCTTAGTGTTAACGTGTTTTATTAGAATGATGATTATGTCGAAGTTTGATTAACGCAACTTTTTTCCCTTCGTGGTCCTTATGGTTTCCTCTGTCCTTTTTCACTTCTTATCACTATCTTCCTCTTTTCTTCTCTTATCTTTATCTTCTTCCTTTCTTTGCTCTCAATGTTCACTAGTCTCTGATTATTGGTTGGATATTATGGAACAACAAATCGCACATCTGTCTTTAGATGATGACGAAGATATCCCCACTATTCTCCCTACTGATGTGGCTAGGGCCACTCCTCGATCGCCTTTTGAATATTGTATGGTTGGGACTTTCTTACCTATAACCCCATAAATATACAGTTGATGAGATCTCTCCTGGCAGATCTGTGGCACCCACTTTGGGGTGTCTCTATTGAACAATTAGAAGCAAAAAGATTTTTGTTTCGTTTCTTCAATCAGGTTGACTTTGATCGGGTTAGATATGGAGGTCCTTGGCTGTTTAATAGATTTTTATTGGTTTGGAAGGAGATATAACAAGATAAAGACCCTCTTCATATTCCTTTGTTGAAGGTTGATTTTTGGGTGCAAGTTAAAGATCTCCCTCCTGGACATTTTTCAGAAGATTTGGCAAAGTTTTTAGGCAACTTTATTGGTAGTTTTGTTGAATATGGTGCAAAGAGTATTTCTCCTTTGTCCTCAAACCCTATGCGAATTAGAGTTACCTTGGATCTTCGTCAACCTTTACATAGACGGAAAAAGCTTGTTGATGCAGATGACACTGTGTTTACGATAAGTTTCCAATATGAAAAGCTTACCATTTTTTGTTATCTTTGTGGTAAGCTTGGCCATGTGGACGCTTTTTGTGAACAAAGGCTGTACTTGAAGTTGGAAAATATTAACTTCAGTTGGGATGCTAGTCTCCGAGCACAGGCCCGCCGGAATACTAGAGCACCGAGCATGTGGTTACGTGAGGTTGAAAGCATGATTGTTCCTTTGTTTGGGGCTAATTCGTGGGGATTAGGCGGGAATTTAGGAGAAAATTTGGTTGTACAAGATTTCAAATCTTCCCTGTTTGGAGCTAGTCCAAGTAATAAAGACAAAGATGCTGAGTTAGATAGGAGTCATATGGAAATGGATGAGGGCCCGGGAAGTGCTGATGGGCTAGAGGAGGATGAAGTTATACTTACTATAGAGGATGGTAAAAAAAGACTTAGAAAAACAACACAAACTGTTAGAGGTGGGTTTTCCTTGAACCAAAAGGATGCTGCCAACAACACACCTGCGTTTCATACTACGTCAGGAAATTTTGAAGCGGCTCATCCCGGTAAGCGGGATAGCCGAGTGTAATGATACTTCTTAGTTGGAACTGCCGGGGTATCGGTAATCCCCGAGCAGTAAATGCGCTAAATGAGATGGTTTTGAATTACATACCAGATGCAATTTTCTTAATGTAGATTAGAGTGAATGGTAGTAAAATGGAGGACATTAGAAGATGGATCCAATTTGATGGTTGCATTTCGGTTGACTGAATTGGATTAGGGGGAGGGTTATCGTTGTTATGGAAGAATTCTGGTATGTTTATAATAAAGGGTTATTCTAATAATTTCATTGACTGTCTTGTTGTAGAAGGTAGGGTCCAATGGCGATATTCTGGTTTCTATGGTTTTCCAGAACGATGTCGTCACAAAAGCTCTTGGAACTTGTTGAGGCTTTAGCTAGAAGAGATAATAGACCTTGGCTTTATTCTGGGAATTTCAATTACATTGTTTCTTTGGAAGAAAAAAAGGGAGGGATGCCACAATCGAGTTATTTGATTGATGGTTTTAGGGAAGCCTTGGAAGAGTGCAGCTTAAGTCAGATTCCTACTGTGGGTCCGATTTTTACCTAGGATAATGGTTATGATGAAGACGATAGAATCAGGGTGAGGCTTGACAGAGTTGTTTCAACGTGGGAGTGGGCACAGAATTTTAGTTCAGTAGTTTGTAATGTGGTTTCTGCTCCAGTCTCGGATCACTGTCCATTGATAATTAATACTGCGCCAAAGGATGATAAGAGGGTGAGTAAAAGATTCCGATTTGATAATACT